ATGGACAGCTGGCGCCCCAACCCGCGGGCGCCGCCCTTCGTGCCCCGACGCTCCTCCCTAAGGCGCATGGGCGTGGGCGTGGGCGGCTTTTCGAACAGCAGCGCGGGCGGGCTCGGGAGCTACCACCGCCACCTCCCCCTCCTCCCCCGCGGGCGCCGCCTGGCCAAACTCCTGCAGGTGCGTGTGTGTGTGTGTGTGTGTGTTGTGTGTGTGTGTGTGTGTGTGTGTGTGTATGTATATGTGGTGTGTGAGTGAGTGTGAGTGTATGTGCTGTGTGTGTGTGTGTGCATTTTTCTTTTTTTCTTTCTGCCTCTCTGCCTATGCGTCTGTATGTGATCAGACTTTTGTCGTTTAATCGGCCGGTTTCGTTCTCTTTTCACTGATTAACGGCCGGACTCCCTGAGATACCATAGGCCGCGTTCCCATAGCCGCTGCATGGGGACGCCGTTCATATCCGTAATGCGTCCCCTTCGTTCGCTGTAGCAAAAGCACTTTACGTTGATGAAATGACCGTACTATCCGAGTCCCGCTTCCAGAAGGTCCTATCGCACTCACTCACCTTTTTCTATTTTTTTTTTTTTTTTTTTTTTTTTTTTTTTTGCGTTTCCGTACGAACTTTCCGTATGCAAATGAGCTGAACCTGTCGCCCTGTGCCAAGGTCCCGGATATCACGCGAGCGATCTCGTACGTGTCATATTATTTTAAAGAAATATTGTTTTGTATATTGCTTATGGAAATATCCTTGAATATGAACTTATATTTACAATGAATCGATATTATTTATCAGTAAAAAGCGTTCTAGGTGTTTCGATCCTCCGTAGCATAAGATCGAGACGGAAATTAGTCGGACGGAAATGCATAAACGGAGATTTATAAGCGCAAAAAACGGACGTAGCATACGCAAAAACGGACGGATGATATTCATAAACGCAAAAACGACGGGATTCATAAACGCAAAAAAACGGACGTAGAATCATAGACGCAAAAAACAGACGGATGATATTCATAGACGCAAAAAAAACGACGTAGATTCATAAACGCAAAAAAACGGACCGTAGAATCATGAACGAAAAAACGGACGTAGAATCATAGACGCAAAAAAACGGACGTAGATAGAATCATAGACGAAAAAAAAACGGACGTAGAATCATAAACGAAAAAAAAACGGATGTAGAATCTAAACGAAAAAAAACGGACGGAGATTCATGAACGAAAAAACGGACGGAGATTCATAAACGCAAAAACAGGCGGAAGATTTCATAAAAAGAAGAAGAAAAAAACGACGTAGAATCATTAACATAAAAACAGACGAAGATTCATAAAAGCAAAAAAAAAAAAAAAAAAAAAAAAAAAAAAAAAAAAAAAAAAAAAAAAAAAAAAAAAAAAAAAAAAACGGACGGAGATTCATAAACGCAAAAACAGGCGAAGATTCATATAAAAGAAAAGAAAAGAAAAAAAAACGGACTTTAGAATCATAAACATAAAACAGACGGAGATTCATAAAGCAAAAAAAAAAAAAAAAAAAAAAAAAAAAAAAAAACGGACGTAGAATCATAAACGAAAAAAACAGACGAAGATTCATAAAAAGAAAAGAAAAAAGAAAAAAAAACGGACTTAGAATCATAACATAAAAACAGACGAATATTCATAAAAGCAAAAAAAAAAAAAAAAAAAAAAAAAAAACGACGTATAATCATTAAACGCAAAAAACGGACGGAGATTAATGAACGCAAAAATCTAAGGAAAAGGGTACAAGTGCAATATGACCTTTATAAAGGGATCTTGCAAGGTAGATACGCTGCGAAAGTTGTGATTTGTCTTAGATTCAGATTTCCCTTAATGGATGAGGGAGAGACTTGATAAAGGAGGGAGGGAGGGAAGGGATGTGAAGACATAGGGGATAAGGACGAAAAGTAGGGGGAAAGAATTGAGGAGAGAAAAAAGGAGACAGAGCAGAGATAGAGAAGAAGAGAGACAGAGACAGAGATAGAGAAGAAGGAGAAAGAGACAGGGATAGAGAAGAAGGAGAAAGAGAGGAGAAAGAGACGAGACGAAAAGAGAGAGAGAGAGAGAGAGGACCGAGTGCCTGAGCGAAGGCACAAGACCCCCGCCCGCCCTCGACCCCCTCGGCCGTCGCGGGTCGTGGAGCGCGCACCGGCCCGGCTCGGAGGGCGGAGGTGTAAATAAGCGAGATATTTCACGCCCGACAAAGGTAGTGAAATATGGACGGATATTGTGCGGCGCCTAACAAACAAGAAATAATGCTCGCGACGATAAAATATGGCTTCTCGGACGGGAATATTGGCGCGAGGAGACACACACACGCGCGGCGCCGAGCTCAGCCGCCGGGTGACGCTGGGTGCCGGCTGGGGGGGTGGTAAAGACGTCGAGGGGGAGGGGGGAGGGGATGGGGGTATGCTGAGGTTAGGGAGAGGGATGGGGAGATGGATGGAGGGTGGGGTTCTAAGGAGAGTAAGGGGGGTATGCTGGAGATTGGTGGGGATGGGAGGATGGGGGGTGGAGGGTTGGGGTTGCTGAGGAGGAGGTATGCTGGAGATTGGGGGGGGATGGGAGGATGAGGGATGGAGGGTTAGGGTTGCTAAGGTGAAAGGGGTATATTGGAGATTTGGAAACGGGAGGGATAAGGGGTGTGGGAGGGTTTTGGGAGGCTGAGGTAGGGTGGAGGAGGAGGGGTCTGGGGAGTTAGGGAAGGGTGTTGGGAATGTGGGGGAGGGGGGAGGCGGGGGAGTGATGTAATTTCTTGAATTATTATTGTTCCTGATTTGATGGATTGATTTGGGATTCGCTCTTTCTCCTCCGTTTTGAGTCGTAGAGGCGATTGTAGTGTTAATAATAGTCCTTTTATCGCCATTATGTCATATTTTGTTGGTATGTCAAGTGGCAGGGGTATTACTTGTAATTGCAACAGTAATCCAAACATTTCACTGCTTCTCTCGTCAGCTTATCATTTATAGGGCAATGGAGTCCATATCAGTGGTTTCCAACCTTTTAGCATTTTGTGGCCCGACTATTATATTTTTTATCTTCAAGTCTCCGTTCATGACTCATCTCGGATTCAGTTATTGTTATGAATGGGGGTAATGGTGTCAACAGCTACAGGGCAAGAACACACTATGGAGAGATTTTAGTTCATTGATATGTGAGAGATAATATTATTGTAGGTACTGTTAAGTGTGATGAAAATTCGGTTTAATTCGACGTCAATTTTTTCATATTCTGTGGCCCCCTTAAGGTACCCCGGGGCTCAGCTGGGGGTCATGATCGAAGCTGAGTATGGTAGATGAAGTGAGCGGGATATAACTGACATGGTTGCTATTTAGATCGATATAAACCAAGGGCTGATGCTGTTGATGTAAACCAGTGGGTAATACTGTCGATCTAAACCAAGGGCCAATAATGTCGATGTAAACCAAAGAGCCGATAGATAATATCGATATAAACCAAGGCCTGAGGCTGTTGATATAAACCAAGGGCCGATACTGTCGATATAAGGACTGATAATGTTATCCACGTTATCAAAAGATCGAAAAAAGAAAAAAAAGAAAAAGAAAGAAAGAAGAAAAAATAAAAACAATTATATATATATATATATATATATATATATATATATATATATATATATATACATATACATATACATATCATATACATATACATATACATATAAAAATATACATATACATATAAATGCACCGTTGAGAATGGATTAATTTATTGATTGATGAAAACCTTTTTTTATTTATTTAGTATCTTTGTTGAGACGTTTTTTATATTAAGCTAAAAGATATTGATTGCCACCTATTTTTTCTATGTAAACGGATATTGTTTAAACATTGTTAGCGTTAATAGATGATTGAATTTTTTGGGATCTTTTTTTTTTTTTGGGGGGGGAGGCCGTTCGATTTTTTTTTTCCTTTTTTTCTTTTTTCATTTTTTTTTCTTCAGGAACGTAAGAAAATAGATTAAGCGTATTAAGTTTCCATTATTTTATTTTAAGTACCCAAATTGCTTAAAGTTTAAAAGGTAACACTATATGTATGTAGATTTAAAATGAAAGTGCAAAAGTTATATCTCAGTCGATGAGTGCGCTCTCTTCTCTCTTTTCTCTTTCACTCTCTTTCTCTTCCTTTCTCTCTCTTTCTCTCTCTTTCTCTCTCTCCTCTCTCTCTCTCTCTCTCTCTCTCTCTCTCTCTCTCTCTCTCTCTCTCTCTCTCTCTCTCTTCTCTCTCTCTCTCTCCTCTCCTCTCTCTCTCTCTCTCTCTCTCTTTCTTGTGTGTATGTTTACAAGTGTGTGCGCGCGTGCCCATTACCCTCCATGTGCACTAACGCCCGCCCCCTCCGCAGGGCCTGCTGATTGCTGTGCTGAGTGGCCCACGATCGCAATCAAACGTGACCTTCATCGTGGAGAAGACGCGGCAACTGCGGGAGCCTCTGGTCGCCGCAGGTGAGTCGCGCGATCAGCTGTTGCGGAGGACGCTCTGGAAGTTAGGGTTGCCGGTTAGGGATATTGTGTTGATTGTGTTCGGTGCTTTTGCTTTGTAGCGTGTTGGTTTTACGTCTTAGTGTTGTGGTCGGTGTTATTATCATCTTATCGTTGTGTTATTGTATTGTTATCACTGTCATTATTGTTATATATTGTTTTACTATTATTATTATAGTAGTAGTAGTATTAGTATACTATTGTTATTTTTATTATAACCATGAATGTTATTGGTAGTAGATGTAATTTCATTTGTCCATTTTTTCTCAAAATTTCAAATTTTCAACATTTCTAAGGTGATATTGCTGACTGGCCAATCTCTTTAATTATTTTAACATTATTTGATGGATTGTAGGTAGGTAGATAATAGAAGTATATATTAGATAGATAGAGTAGGTAGATAGCATTGATAGATAGATAGTTATAAGATTGATAGAAGTTATATAGATAGACTAGTGTTATGTAGATGAGATGAGATAGATAGATAGATAGTTAATGA